TGCTCAATATTTTACACTTATTTTATTATTTTTAATATTTTACTTTTACTTTTACCTTGAAATTTTCTGCTTTATTTTGTGTAATTACTGAATTAACGCCTGTTATATACTTTATTTTTATCAGTTTTGTGAATAAAAATATACAATTTCAAGCGGTTCCTTGGATTGCACCTCATTCATTATTCAAAGTTCAGTATTAAGTAAAGATGTAACAAAACTAATAATAGCGTTACATGATATATATTTATTACTGATTAATTGCTGAAAAGAGACAAAATTACGTTTTATCAGAATTTATCACTTAACAAACTTAAGCATAAACTTATTCATTATTATCTTTCAAAAATTTAAGCTTTGAAAAAATGTTCAAAGCTTCATAGAAACTTTGGTAGCAATTTTTGGATTTTTGGTAGAAGCTAACGGGGCACATTCTCCTTTGCATTCAGCACCTTGTCGAGAAATTTGTTTTGGTACGAGGTCATCACGAACTTCGTAATTCACGGATCCAATACCAGTTAAAGTAACCTGAATCTGACCTACTATAGTCGTACATACTCAAAGCACAATCTAACAAAACTAAAAAAAAAATAATTAAAAAAAAATGATATCACATCCAGTAGTCAAAGCACAACCTGCTTCACAAACAATACAAAAAAGCGCAAATTGTGCTAATCCTAAAAAGCTTCTGTTATTTAAAATGTTATTAAAATTATAAATTATTAAAAATAAATTGATCTGACCTTTGTAATATGCTCCTCCTTTTTAGGACCAGTAGAGTATGTAGTGATTTGAAACAAGCCCAAGCCACAATTTTTGGCTTTTTCTTGAAATATAAAACGGTCACCTTTATTTTGTAATAATCTGAAATAATTCATTAATAAATGAAATTCAACAATATAAAAGCATACTTTATTAACAGCCAGAGAAGTTTTATTTTATCCAACTTAAAACAAAATTCAATTATAAAATATTAGTGCAGTTCAATTTTGGATAAAAATAATCCAAAAAATTTAAAACTAATAGTAATAATTTATCAGATATTTTCTAAAGAATAAATAATTATTAATTTAATTATGAGTTTTGGACTACTGAAATGGATTTTTGGATTATTGAACAGGATATCTGCTAAGGTTTCTTTTTCAGATTTAATTTGGATAAAAAATATTCAATGTAGAATATTTGCATATTAATACTTAGATTGAGTTAGGTAAATTTGCAATTTTGTGCATTATTAGGTAAAATAATTTCAAATATTTTAATGACGAAACTATCAGACAAATTATGAACAACCGAAAATACAAGTAAATGAAAAAATATAAGTGTAATTTATGCAAATTAATTTAGTAGCTGTAAGAAAAATATTCCAGTATTAGAAAATTTTTTATAACTTTATTCAAAAATTCAAAGTATAACAAAAATATATTTTGGTAGTCAATTGTAGTAAAAATATGTTGCACCTACTTTCAAATTTATGCAAATTTAATCGTTTTGGATAGCAAAATATGATACAATTAACAAACTTTTCGTCACTTTTTCCATTTGGGGTAGTAATTTTTACGCGAAATGACGTGTTAGTGGATGACTTGACACGTATAATGATATCACACCCAGTAGTTAAGTCAGCCATCAAAAAAATAAGAAATATAAAAGTCAACGAGTTTGCTAACATTTTGCTGAAAATCATTGTTTTGCATATTTTGAAAAGAAATGAATAAATGTTTACGAATAATTTTTCACAGATTCACGCATGAAAAACGTAACTATACGCGATATTTAATATGAAAGAATTCACCAAAAATAAATCCGAACATAGATGCAAACTTTATCGCTTAGTCGTACTAAAAATGCAAACTTTATCGCTTAGTCATACTAAAAATTTTGATGAAATTTCACATTTATTCTGTTTCTAATTCATTCATATTGATTGAATGCTTTTAACGTGAAATATCTCGAAAAGGTAATGCATGACGTACGTGATCCAAGTACGACAAAGTCGAATGCAAACTTTATCGCTTAGTCATACTAAAAAACAATTTAAGATATTTTAAACACATAAATTTGGATAGTTTTTTGAAGAGCATTTAAAGTAAATTGAAAGTAATAAAATATCAAATTTAAAACTTTGCATTTTCAAAAACGATTTAAAATTACAAAAGCAATAAAACGTAGAAATTAATTATTTTTTGAAAGCAAACTAATTTTTGTTTTCTAACAATATAATTAAAAAAACAGACATAACTGAAATGGTAGTATTATTTGAATTGTTCGAACTTTTCAAAGAATTAAGTAATTTTTATAATTAATGCAAGAAAGTTTGAATGTTTCTTAATTAGAAAGTCAGTGAATTTCGACGTAATTTTTAGTATTAAAAAATAATATCTCTTTTATCAAAAATTAAAAATTAAGCAAAAGAAATTGCAGTTTATATTAAAATAAGCTAAAAGAATATTTTAAAGGCAATAAATTGACAAATTTTTTGAAATTATTTTACTTAAATATGAAAACAAAAGTAATAACAGCTCAAAAAAGACAAAAAAAAGCTAATTTCGACAATTTGTTTGAAATAATTTATTGAATTTTAGAACGTTAAAAAATTTTGCAGTGAGAACTAATGCAAAGTGAATTTAAAAAAGTATCTGTTAGTCAAAAAATAAAAATAAAAAATTTGTCAGAAAAAAGTCATAAAATCATTTTGTATGAAAATAATTGCATAAAAATTACTCTGCACTTTGGTAATAATTGTATTTTTTGACATTACTTACAAATTGTTGAGTTGATAAAAGATCAAAATCAGATCAGTAGAAATGATCTGCGCAATCGACTGACTACAACTGTTGTATCACTGATCGTTCTGCTCTTTAACCTCGCTAACTTGTTTTTCATCTATGCTACAACTGTTATTATCATTATTATTAATGCCATTATTATTTTCATCACAAGTGTTATTGAAATATCATCATTATCATTTTTCAGCTCTGCTTATACTTACACAACCAATTATTATAATTATTTCATTGTACTTTGGTGATATTTTTCACTTTTGATTGTAAATAATCATCTTACTGTTTGTTAATAATTTTAAATACTGTAATTATTAATTTTGATATTTGATATATTACAGTATTAAAATTTATTTAAAAAATAGTTATCAAAATAATTTAATCGTAAAAAATAATGATAATAAAAGTAATAATTATAAAAATAATATCTCTCATAAAGTAATATTCGATTTAAAACTTAAAAAAATCAAAAAATGCGAAAAAAATATCCTCAAATGATTATTTAAATCATATTTAAATACGTTTGCTGCAAAATACGCCTGAAGATATAAAGTGAAGTAAAAACTAGCAATAAAAACTTTGTAAAATGCAAAGTCAGAAATGATTGATTCTGAATGACTGATTCTGAATGACTGCTTCTGAATGATTGATTCTGAATGATTGATTCTGACTGTTTGCAATCAGTCGCTTAGTTTCAACTAATTTTCACAACAAAAAATTAGTACAAAACAAAAAAACAAAGTTAACTAACTCAACAAATCTTGTTTAATAGTTTAAAAATTTGAAAGACTGCTATTAATTTACTTCACTTTCACTTCAAGTCCTAATTTATAACAGCTGTAAACTTGAATTTTTCTCAACACAAACAAATTTTTTACATATCTCAGTTTTTTATCACGTTGTTTAGCTTATTTTTTCCAATACTTGGTTATTTTTGTCAAATTTTGAAAATTAATTATAATAGCAGAACTATTGTTGTTTGCTTTATTCAATTATGAAAATAAAACAAGAATGATTATTATAAAAATGAATAATTTTGTGCAAAATGCTTTTTTTTTTCAAGAAAATTTTGCACTGAGTAATAATAACGGTATTTTTTTATTGCAGTAAACAATCTGAGTTAAATAGAAAGGCTAAATTTAGCTTTATTATTTAATTCATATCCAACTAATTTTGAACTAACAGTAATTTTTAACTAACATTAACAGTAGTTAAATAGCAGTAATTGGAGTAAATGATATCAGCACAGTAGTTACAGCAGTGATAGCAAAGCTTAATTATGAATTGTAACAGATTATACCGTATATTTCTGAAATAAAAACTAAGAATATCAAATTAAGAGTTTATTATGGCCTATATTGTACTAGACTAAAGTATGTAATATGATATTACACGATCATATAATGCATAACACTTGTATACTGTGTATAGAAAAAGATGTAGATGACACGTAATACAGTAGTAACGTTACGAAAATTAATCATATAGTAGAAGAATTAGAAGTAATTTTTTATGCTACAGACGCCCACCATCGGTGCTACTATTGTATTTTATAGTAAGTAGATATAATTATTCTTCTTTGTACAACACAAGCACATACTGTATAATACTCTAATACTGTGTAATGGAATACTTCTTGTTTACTGTATGATGTATACTGTATAATGGAATATATGTAATGCAGTAGTAACGCTTGAAGGAGTAGTAGATAACTTCCGTACCACACATTTTGTGTATATGTTTGGGATGATACTGTAAAGAACCAGAGGCAATATATTTTCTTACACTATACTTATGTTGACTATATGAATTGCTTTTAACTTACTGTATGAGAGGGATTCGTCTACTGTAAAAGATATATGGTACTGTACATCTTGCTCACATCAACCACCATAACAAGCAATTTTCTTTCTACTGTATGCCCCTCACAAAATTTAAATACAACTGCATAAAAGATTGATTGGACTATAAAGTAGGTAAAATAGGTAAAAAAACGTGACATGGAAGCTTTCAAAATTATAAGATGTCATTACTGTACCTTGCATGAAATGCTGAACCATGAGATATTTTTTTTCATAATAGGGACGTAAGAAATATTCTTTTCAAAAAATGTGTCCATTTTAAGTGATAATGATAATTAGTTCAGACAAATTATTTAGTATTTGAATCTGCGTAATTGTAGCGTATATTTCGTTGTTAAACGTATTTTTTGATCTCACACCACAGTACTATTTTTGACTTGATGCAATTTTTTTACTGCTTTTGATCTGTGAAATGAAGCGTTGACGTAATGCAAAATGATGCTTGGAAAAAAAATTGCTGATCTGTAAATGTTGCAGGTAAAGTGCTAACAATGGAGTCAGCATCGCACACTATTTTGCTTATTCAGCCTGTCTCACGCGTTGAGTCACGAACGTGGTCTGATTATGAAACAACCGTTGATTGCATGGAAGGTAAAAGTTCGGTCTAATTTAAGATTTTTAACATGAACTGCCTAGTACAGTTATAGAACAGCATGTTGTAAAGGGATTACTTTATCGAAAAATTACTAATTTATCATTTTCTTCCTAAAAAATATGGTTTCAAAAGATGACTGTTTAATAATATATTCGTGGCCTAATTACATTCACTGCACGTTTACTTTGACTTCGTTATGTTTCAGTTACAGTTTTATTGAAATTGCAGGAATATGCAAGATTTTCGAGGAACATTTGAAAAAGTTGAATCCCAACTCTGCATCAATTACGTATGATGTGCAGAATTTGTTCGAATTCATTGATCGCCTCTCCGATTTATCATGCTTGGTTTGGGATAACACGGTTAAATCTTATCTTCCACACAATAAGGATTGGATAAAAGAACAGATCTACATATTGCTTCGAAGGCAAGCTGCTAAATGATTTGGTCCATTAGATTTTGTAAATTTGACATAAACCCAATGGCTGTGCTTGGTGATTGTTTTGCCAATGTTATGATTTGAACTTTGACAGCTGATGATCTCTTTTTGTCAAAATAGAGCTACGCAATACATTTCACTTCGAGTGTCTTCCGAGCATAATCATACTTTCAGTTATAATTTACCTATCATGATATGATGCAAGTCTCCTTTATCTCTTTCTAATGCCGACAAAAATTCCAAATACTTTTGTCAAGAATAATTTATGACAAGTTTTATAATACCACAACCCTTGTGAATAGTATAATACAATAAATGAGCAAAACAATAATTTAGGAGAACATATCGAAAAGGCATCTCAGATTTATTTCGTAATAAAGAAGAAACTTTCTTCTTTTATTTTCAGAATTTATTTTATACGTAGCAAAGTTCACAGAGTGAAGTTGTACTTGCAATAGAGTTATTGAGTTAAAATACTTGTTGCATGAAGTACTGAGTTCTGATGTTTTGCTAAAACATCGTAATTATATAAACTAAAAGGGAAGAAAACATTATGTTAAACTAAGGAACCTAATCAGGTTTTTGCTTGAAGAGTTTCAAAAAGACATTTATTCAGGAACAAGAAAAATCCAAGCGAAGTGAAAGATGTACATCACTAAAAGCTGGTTATTTTCGCTTAAAACTACGGTTTGTTAAGCCAAAAATGGGCATCTATACAGTTTATAGGATCAGACGGATCTAAAGGTGGCGACTGCAAATTAACGCCTTCTGTTTTGAATTGTTCACGCCTATGACGTTTCTCCATTCGAATCGGATCTGCCTCACCTAAATAAATTTATTTCTGAATGATAGTTTGATAGTACAGATTTCAGAAGTATGCATTCTTGAGTTTAACATACCGAGCGTAAAAGTGTGATGGTTCACCATTGCAATATTCTTAATTCCTTCAACATTCACATTTGCATCTTTATTGACGTTCAGTGGCGTTTCTGCTACCTGTTGGGAAAGGAAGTGGTTTTTCAAACGAGCAATGTTAAATTAAGTTATTAAAATTTCAGAAAAGATCCGAAATAACTGCAGGATGGAAAAGGCATTACTAAATACCTAGTCTGACCTGCCACATTTCGTTAAAATTTCAGAACTGATTCTACTTCCAAACATTACATATCTTGATTTTTGATAACGTATGGCTTCTACAATATGCAATGCTACATTATGCTGAAATTACGTAAGCAAAAACTGAAACCATAGTATCTAATTGGGTTGCAGGAGCAGTATAGCTCATTGATGTCACATTCGTGAAACAAAGCATAGAATCATTTGTTGATGCTATAGTACAGTCCGTCTGCATGATAGGTGCAACGGCAGCAGCTGGTCGTAAAGTCTGTATGTTTGTCTGACTACATGAATATGATCCTGCGATTGAATGTACACCTTGTGGTGATTCTGACAGCTGTTCCGAATTTGTTACTTCGGTTTCTTTAATTTTATCACATTATAGTTGGTATGTCTACACCTCGCAACACTTCTTTCTTATCATTAGCTACTACTGCACAAATGAAGAATAAATCTATTTATTTACATTTCCTTCGCTCTTAATTTGAGCATTTATCATATATATATATGATAAAATTTTTTTTTTAACAAATATATATGATAAATGCTCAAATTATATATATATATATATATAATGATAAATGCTTGCTATGGCCCACTCATCACTTGACAAGAATCAAA